AAATGTGTATTCAAGTCCTTTTCCCATTTATGAACTGGGTTTTGTTGCAGTTTTTAGGAGTTTTCTCTGTATCTTCTGGATGTTAATCCCTCATCAGATGTGATTTGCAAGTATTTTCTCCCAATCCATGGGTTACCTTGTTACTCTGCTGATAGTACACTTTGGTGCACAAAAGTTTTAAAATGTTATATAGCCCAATTTGGCTGTTCTTTTATTGTCAGTGCCTTTGGTGTCATATTACTGCCAAATCTAATATCATGAAGTTTTCACCCTCTTTTTCTTCTAGGACTTTTATAGTTTTAGGTCCTATATTTAGGTCCTTGATCCACTTTGAGTTAATTTTTGTATATGGTATTATTTTTTACATGTGGATATCAGGTTTTCCCGGCACCATTTGTTGAAAAGATTGTCCTTTCTCCATTGAGTGGTGTCTGTATCCTTCTTGAATGTCATTTGACCATATACACAAGGATTTATTTCTGAGCTCTCTATTCTATCTCACTGGTCTTTATGCCGGTACCACACAATCTTGATTGATGTAGCTTTGCACCAAGCTTTTTTTTTTTTTTTTTTTTGGAGACAGGGTCTCACTATGTCGCCCAGGCTGGAGTGCAACCGCACAATCATGGCTCACTGCAGCCTCAACCTCCCAGGTTCAAGGGATCCTCCCATCTCAGCTTCCCAAGTAGCTGGGACTACGGGGTACACACCACCATGCCCAGTTAATTTTTGTATTTTTTAGTAGAGATGGGGTTTTGCCATGTTGTCCAGGGTGGTCTTAAACTCCTGGGCTCAAGTAATCCTTCTGCCTCAGCCTCCCCAAGTACTGGGATTACAGGTGTTAAGCTACCATGCCCAACCTGTATGATGAAGTTTTGAAACCAGGAAGTGAGTCCTCCAACCTTTTTATTCCTTTTCAAGATTGTTTTGGCCATTTGGCATCCCTTGAGATTCCCAAATGAATTTCAGAATCATTTTTCTATTTTTGCAAGCAATGTTGGAATTTTGACAGGCTTGCATTGAATCTATCTCTTTGGGCAATACTGACATGTTAACAATATTAAGTCACCCAGTGGACAAATGTGATGTTATTACATTTAATTATATCTTCTTTAATTTTTGTCAAAAATGTTTTAAACAAATCTTTCATCTCCTTGGTTAATTCCCCAATATTTGATTCTTCTTGATGCTATTACAAATGAAACTGTACTCTTAGTTTCTTTTTTAGATTTTTATTGTCAGGGCTTAGAAACAAGGGATTTTTGCCTGTTGATTTTATATGCTGCCACTTCTTTGCTGAACTCATTTATTAGTTCTAGCAGGGGCTTGCTGGGGGGTGTGTGTGTGTCATCTTGAGGGTTTTCTTTTCCTTTTTTTTTTGGAGACAAAGTCTTGCTCTGTCCCCCAGGCTGGAGTGCAGTGGCACGATCTTGGCTCACTGCAACCTCCATCTCCCAGATTCAAGCAATTCTCCTGCCTTAGCCTCCAAAGTAGCTGGGACTACAGGCACATGCACCTCGCCCGGCTTTTTTTTTTGTATTTTAGTGGAGGTGGGGTTTCACCGTGTTGTCCAGGCTGGTCTTTAACTCCTGAGCTCAGGCAATCCACCAGCCTTGGCCTCCCAAAGTGCTAGGATTACAGCCATGAGCCACTGCACCTGGCCCAGGGTTTTCTATAATACATATAAGTCATCTCATCTGCAAACAGATAATTTTACTTCCCTCTGTCCAATTTCGATGTTTTTTTTTTTTCTTACTTGCTTTGGCTAGAACTTCCATTACCGTATTAAACAGATGCCACAAAACCAAGCATCCTTGTCTTCTTCATGAGCTTAGAGGAAAGGCTTTCAGTCTTTCACCATTGAGTATGATGTTAGCTCTGGGCTTTTCACATATGGTTCTTACGTTGAGGTAATCTCCTTCTATACCTAGTTTTACCGTGTTTTTATCACAAAGGGGTATTGACTTTTGTCAGATGCTTTTTGTGCATTGAGATGATCATGTGGTTTTTGTCCTTAACGTAGTATATTACACTGATTGATTTTCATATGTTGAACTACTCTTGTAATCATGGGATAAATCCTACTTGGTCATGGTACACAATCCTTTTAAATATGCTGCTGAATTCCATTGGCTAGTATTTTGTTCAAGGTTTTTTGCATCGATGTTCATAAGGGATACTGGCCTATAGTATCCCTTATAGTATCTTTCTGTTTTGGGTATCAGGGTAATGCTGGCCTTATTGAGTTAGAAAGTGTTCTTTTTTCCCCACATTTTTGGAAGAGTTTGAGAGGGACTGGTTTTAGTCTTTTAAGTGTTTGGTAGAATTTACTGGTGATGCTATCATGTCCAGGGCTTTGCTTTCTCAGGAGGTTTTGGAATACTTAATCTCCTTACTAGTTAGAGATCTGTTCAGATTTTCTCTTTATGATTTAGCTCTGGTATTTTGTTTTTCTAGGAATTTGTCCATTTCATGCAGATTATCCAATTTGTTGTCCTACAATACTGATCATTTTTACAGTACTGATCAGTTTTATTTCCACAGTATCAGTAGTAATGCCATTTTCATTTCTAATTTTAGTAATTTGAGTCTTCTTCCTTTTATACTTCATCATTCCAGCTAAAGTTTTATCATTTTTGTTATTCTTCTTAAAGAACCAACCCTTGGTTTTGTTGATTTTCTCTACTGGTTTTCTACTCTCTGTTTTACAAATTACAGTAATATAGTACTTGCAATTTTTGTATACAATAATATACAATTATGCTACTTGCAAACTACAAATTATTTTACAAATTACAATAATTTACATATATTTGCAAGTTACAATAATTACAAGTTACAGTAATAATATTTTACAAATTATCTTGTTACAATAATACTAGCTTTTATAGTGGTCCCTGTATTTGCCTTTATCAGAAATCTTTACTTCCTTTTCTCCAATGGCTGTGCGTTACTGTCTAGTGTGCTTTCATCTCAACCTATAAGACTCCCTTTAGTATTTCTTGCAGGTCAGATCTAGGGATGAAAAACTCTCGCTTAAGTGTTTGGTAGAATTTACTGGTGATGTTACTATGTCCAAGGTTTTGCTTTCTCAGGAGGTTTTTGATTACTTGCTCTCCTTACTAGTTAGGGGTTTATTCAGATTTTCTATTTGTTTTTTGCAAGTTACAATAATTACAAGTCACAGTAATAATATTTTACAAATTACCTTGTTACGAGAATACTAGCTTTTATAATGGTCCATGTATTTGCCTTTATCAGAAAGGCAAATTGATTGCCTGGGCACTGTCTTAATTTCTCCACTATTTTTGAAGGAGTTTTGCCAGATGTAGAATTCTTAACAGGTTTTCCCCCACTTATGCATTTTGAATTTATCAAACCACTGCCTTCTAGCCTCCGATGTTCCTGATGAGAGATCTGCTGACAATCTCAGTGGTTGTATCCCCTGTATGTGGCAGGTCACTTCTCTCCTGCTGCTTTCAAGAGTGTCTCTGTCGTTACAGCGCGATTATAATGCATGTTCACGTGGGCCTCTGAGTTTATCCTGCTTGGAGTGTGTTGAGTTTCTTGGATGTTCTTGCATATATCACATTTGGGGAGTTTTCAGTCAAATCATCTGTCTGCTCCTTTATTTCTCTTCTCCTTCTGGAACTCCCACAATCTGTATCTTGGTCTACTTGGGTATGTCTCAGAGGTCCCTTAGATTCTGTTCATTTATCTTATGCTCTTTATTCCTCCTGTTCCTCAGACTTGCTAGTATTTTAATGGTTCTAGCTTCACACTCACTGATTCTTCTGCCTGCTCAAATACGCTTCCGAATCCCTCCAGTGAATTTTTCATCTCAGTTATAGTACATTTCATTTCCAGAATTTCTTTTTGGTGTTCTTTTTATAACTGGTTATTAACATTTTGTTCATAGATCGTTTCTTTGACTTTTCCCACATTTTCTTTTAACTCTTGGGTATCTTTAAGATGGTTATTTAAAAATTTTTGCCTACTAAGTCCACAACCTGATCTTTCTCAGGGACAGCTTCTGTGGATTTATTTCTTCTTCTTTTTTTTGTTCTGTCTATCGCCCAGCCTAGAGTGCAGCAGCACAATCTCGGCTCACTGCAACCTCTGCCTTCCGGGTTGAAGTGATTTTTGTGCCTCATCCTCCCGATTAGCTGGGCTTACAGGTATCCATCACCACATCCAGCTAATTTCTTTGTATTTTTAGTAGAGATGGGGTTTCACCAGGTTGGTCAGGCTGGTCTCAAACTCCTGACCTCAGGCGATCCACCCAACTTGGCCTCCCAAAGTGTTGGGATTATAGGAGTGAGCCACCGTGCCTGGCCTGGATGTATTTCTTCCCTTTGTATAGGCTATACTTCCCTGTTTCTTTGTATACCTTATGATTTTTCAATAAAAACTGAAATGTGATGTTTTGTCATTATATTTTAAACTATAAATACAGCAGTAACTCTGGAGATCAGTCTCCCCCTTTCCCCAAGGCTTGCTGAGCTTTTTATCCAATATTGGATTTTTTTTAACAAAACTATACTCCTTGTTTCTTAATTAACTAACAAAGAGAGTTAAATAAATCCCACTACCTTCATACCATGTATTATTGTATAGTCATTCATTTCTTCAAAAAATATCTATTAAGTGTCAGGCACTGTTATAATTGCTGAAAACAGAGCAACTTGTTAAGAATAGTTTCCATAAAGACAGGCTCTTACAGTTTACGCTAGTCATTGATGTATCCTAGAACTTAACTATATAGTATGCACCCAATAAATATTTGATGAATAAATAAATGCATTTCAACGTGATGTCTTTGTAGAATTACTTATGAAAATAAGTTACTATACTTTTCATATGAAATCAAAGGTTTAATGGCACTCTAAAAATAAAGGCAGTTTCGTGTTCTGACACATAAACTAAATGAATATGGTCTGTTTCTACATATTCATATACTCATACTGTATACTATTATTTAACCACCCTTAGAAACGTACCTTTACAATGTACTGCAATGGCACCCTCAGCATTTTCGCAGATATCCAGGAATTCTTTGACAATGGCATCAGTAGGGGTGCTGCCATCCGCAAAGAAAAGATCATGGTGATCGAAGCCAGCATCCGTAAAGCGTTTGGCATCATACATTCTTTTATTCAGACGAATAATGGTAGTAACACTGTGATTCTTAAAATATTGAATATAAGTCTCGGGAGAATGTTGGTGGTAACCTACATAAAGAAATGCACCAGATCTTGTAAAACACATAAAGAAAATAATGGCTAATAATTTCACCTGTAATTGAGCGGACACAGTATCTGGACTGGGAATTAAATACCAAATTGATTATAACTGTAAAAAACAAAACAAAAAGAAAGTTAAAATCCAGTCAGAATGATGTACTGAAATGACCAAGTATGCTTAAATAATTAACCCTTGGTCAAGCTTGGTGTAACTCTTTCAAAAGAAAATACAGGACAGATACTTTCAATAACAAAATGAGATTGATGCCATAATTTCACATACCACTTTCAAGTCTGGCTCTTGAATGAGGTCCACAGAAGGCAATAAATCGGTCTGGTATTATCCAGTTTAAATCTCCATTTTCTGCTTTCTGTAAGGGGAAGACCAGCACAATTCATTTTTAAACGTAATCTCCCCACAACCTCTCTACTCAAGACCGAGTCTCTGAAGGACTTCAAACTCATCTGCTTTAGCGGAAAAGCTGTTTACAAATTGCCATGAGACACGAATCTCAATTTGCCCTGCTACTGGACATATATCCTGGTCCTAATCACCTTCTTTTAACAGTGTTTCATTGCTAGGGTATCAGCCCTTGGAATACAGAGCTGACTGCTGTCATACAAATATACTATTTGGCTATTTTATCTGAATCGATTCTCATTTCATTGCTGCTAATTAATAAGCAAGCAAGCAAACTTTCCCAGTATAAGGAATCTGTGAACTTCCCTGTTTTCCTGAATGACTAACTGGTTTCCAACATGAGTAATCTTGACTCCACAAACAAAGGATTTTTGAAAAACTACTTAGGTTTCTGGCTTCCCAATATTTACTTACTTACCTACTTACAGAGACTGTCTTTCCACTATTTTCCTAGCTATTTAATAAGGTAACCAATTTAAAAAGTTCATTTGTTCGTGATCAGTCTGACCAACTGGAGAAATCCTGTCTCTACTAAAACTACAATATCAGCCGGGCATGGTGGCGCATGCCTGTAATCCCAGTTACTTGGGAGGCTGAGGCAGGAGACTTGCTTGAACCCAGGAGGCAGAAGTTGTGGTGAGCCGAGATGGTGCCATTGCACTCCAGCCTGGGCAACAAGAGCGAAACTCCGTCTCAAAAAATAAAAATAATAAAAATAATAAATAAATTCACTAAACCCACCAGGAAACTCAAAATTACAACTATACCGAGATCACAGTATGTCCCTACAAAAAAACAAATATAAACTGATATATAAGACATGTTACTTCCTGTTATTAGGTCCTTTGGATTGAGTTACCATTACTATTGTAACACAGATATAGTTCAAATTGAACAATAATAGAAACTTCTCTCTGAATGAAATGGATAAGAGATACTTAAGCAGGAAGTAGAAGATGCTTTATGGTGGAGAAGGAGACAACTCGTGATTAAAAACAACAGATAAATTAGCTTTGCAATTGGGGTGTTTCTACATATACCTAAAAATGAGTTAAGTAATAAGAGTTTCTTGAATATCTTCAGGGACCAGGCAGGTAACCCCACACCAGCTTACTGGACTTAATGATCAACATGGGGAATCAGTCAGCCCATGTTCCATAATACAAAGGTCTAAGCAGCCGGGTGCAGTGGCGTGCACCTGTAGTCCTAGCTACTTGGGAGGCTGAGGCAGAAGGATCACTTAAGCCCAGGAATTTGAGTCCAGCCTGGGCAACATAGTGAGACCCTATCTCTTAAAAAAAAAGAAAAGAAAAAGTCAAAGCAGGAATGAGGGCAACTGTTGCCAGATATTCCAATTTTAAATGAAATCAGAAATCCGGACTTTTAAATAAGAAACTCGTGATCAGTTGTTGGCAACAACTAGATTTCACTGAATTGCTGATGCCATTAATTAAGATACGTCCTGAATTCGGAGGAGCTGAAACAGGAAAAAATGGGCATTGTAGAATCAATGAAAGACACTATCCCCAATTTCTAAATACACTATAATAACTGAACAAATCTGGTGTATGGGAACCTGAACAGTTCCCTGTGTTACCACACAGCTTCATGGAGGTGAAGACATCTGTGGTGTGCCCCTGCTACCCCCCAGCTCAGACCCTCCAATCTCTACAGTAGTGACGGGGGAGTTACTTAGTGCCTATATTATTCATTAACAGCATACAAAGGCATCACTGCAAAAGGAACAAATACCAACTAGTGTTTTTAGCAGTTTTGCTTACCTAGACAAAGTAACTTGTTTCAAATGTTTAAAGGACAACCACAAAAAAGGTGTTAATAATTTAGCTACATTCTGTAAGTTTAAGGTGCTAGTTAAACATACATTGTACTTTAGAAATGGACTGCTATCAGAGAAGTAAAGACAGGGTTGGCCCTAATGAATCCTACAATGTATTCTTACATCTTTGGTACATCACAGTAACAACTGAGTGTCACTATTACCTGAAATTGAAAAAATAGTTCAGTTATACATAAGAGTTTGAAATCATATTTACTTCGGACATTGTGAAAAAGAGTTCTCTGATGATTCAAGATGCTGCTACATGAAGTGCTGCTGTTTGAGGAATCGCCTCCCCATTGCTGGGGAGCAAGTCTGCTCAGGGTAACTACAGCAGGCTAAGACGACAGGAGGCTACAACTGCTCTGGGCTGAACAGGCCTTTAGCACAGTATCTTACTCATTCCCTATTTGGAGGATGAAGCTGTAGAATCAAATTACTTATTCTTTTAAAAATACATATATATGTTAAAAAACATAGAACACACCTGTGGTTTTGCCTGGCTTATCTCTCCCTGGCCCTGTCCTATCTTTTTAAGAAATTTTGTGAGGTTGGGTGCGGTGGCTCACATTTGTAATCCCAGCACTTTGGGAGACCGAGGCAAGTAGATCCCTCGAGCGCAGGAGTTTGTGACCAGCCTGGGAAACGTGGCGAAATCCCATCTCTACGAAAAATTTAAAAATTAGCTGGGCATGGTGGCGCGTGCCTGTAGTCCCCGCTACTGGGAGGCTGAGGTGAGAGGATCACTCGACCCCAGAAGGTTGAGACTGCAGTGAGCCAAGATTGCACCACTGCACTCTAGCCTGGGCAGCAGAGTGAGACCCTGTCTCTGAAAAAGAAAGAAAGAAAAATAAAATAAAATAAAAATAAAATAAAACTGTTAGAAAACAAATTTTTTTTGGTCCGGCTGGTTTGATGGCGCTGCCCCTGTGTCCCAGGCTCCTGGGATGGCCAGAGAACTAAGACTGGCCAGAGTATTCCTTAGCCCTGCCCTGCCAAAGAACGCAGGCTGGTGCAGAGATGGGCACATGCTGTAAGTCAGGTCAGTGAGAGGCATTCCTGGGCCTTCTACTGGAGCTAAGATTGCACTTTTCTGATCATTTTGCCAAACTGGCAGATCAAAGGTGCTGGTGGCCATCTGTACCACTACTGGAGAAGGCTGGCCTGAGAATAAAACTAGCTTCAAGTCCAATTTCTGATTAAGTGTCTGAGCACCTGAAGGGGTATGCTAGAAGCCAAACCTGTTTCTGGACTTTTAATTATGTAATCCAGTAAATTTTTCCCCTTTTTTTGAGACAGAATCTCGTTCTGTCACCCAGGCTAGAGTGCAGTGAGGTAATCTCGGCTCACAGCAACCTCTGCCTCCAGGGTTCAAGTGATTCTCTTGCCTCAGCCTCCTGAGTAGCTGGGACCACAGGCGCACACCACCACGCCTGGCTAACTTTTTGTATTTTAGAGATGGGGTTTCACCATGTTGCCCAGGCTGGTCTCGAACGCCTGAGCTCAGGCAATCCGCCCACCTAGGCCTCCCAAAATGCTAGGATTACAGGCATGAGCCACTGTGCCTGGCAAATTTTTCCTTTTTAATTTAAGTTATTTGTGTTTACTTTCTGTAACTTGCAACCAGAAGCATCCTGACAAAAAGAAGGTATGGCAAAGACAAAGATATTTTCCAGAGATAATGAGGTGTATAATGACTTCATCTCATCATATTCTACGCTAAGGGTTTTAAAAGCATCTCAGTCACTGTGCGACAGTCATCAATGCTAAAATACATTTAAACTGAACAGTATAAAGAACATACAGCAGCACACTCATTCACTCTGGAATTGTGCATCAAATGCAGAAATTCCCACCGAGAATTGGGACTGGAGAAATAGCGATAAGAAGATGAAGACTTGACTTTTTTTCACTCTATACACATCTAAAACAAAACAAGAATATTGCTTCTGTAAGTGAAACGGGTGATTAAGAAAACTAAAAACAGGGTCGTGCACAGTGGCACATGTCTGTAATCCTAGCACTTTGGGAGGCCAAGGTGGGAGAAGTGCTTGAGGCCAGGAGTTCAAGTCTAGTACGGGCAACAAAGTGAAACCCCATCTCTACAAAAATAAAAATTAAAAAATTAGCCAGGCATGGTGGTACGTACCTGCGATTCCAGTTACTTGGGAGGCTGAAGAAAGAGGATCATTTAAGCCCAGAAGTTCAAGGCTGCAGTGAGCCATGCACATCACTGCACTTCAGCCTAGGTAACAGAGCGAGACTTGGTCTCTCTCTCTCTTTTTTCAATTTTAAGAAAGAAAAATTAAAAACAGGCAGAGAAATTTTGGTCAGAGTACAAACCATAAGAGGATGAGTAAACTCTGGAGATCTAATGTGTGTACTGTATGCCTGAAATCTGCTAGAGTATATCTCAGGTATTCTCATCCCACACACCAAAAGACTAAATTATCTGAGGTGATGAATATGCTAATTAGCTTGATTAGGTAATCATTTCATGGTATATACATATATCAAAACATTACTTTGTACATCTTAAGTATATGTAAGTTTTATTTGTCAATTATTCCCCTCAATAAAGCTGGGGGGGGAGGCGGGAAAGAGTTGAAAACATGATCCTTGAAGACTTACTTCATAGTGTTCATATTCATCAAGGTTAAATGAGTTGAAATTAAGGAAGCCATACTGCATTGCCTAAAATCCAAAAGAAAGCTTTTAAGAACAAGGATGCAAGTAAGAAAACAGTTTCCTATCCAATTTCAGAATACTAAATATCAGGGGGCCCCCCCAAGAAAGTATTGTCATAATCAGATTACTTTCCCTTGAACAGCTTTCAAAGGAAGTGGGAGGCATCTTCTAAATGCTTCTTTTATATGGAAATTAGTTATAACTATATATAATGAATTTGTTGTGTTTTGTTTGGATTTTGTGAGATGTGCTTTTTTTACTTTCATTCGCCAATCACCCTATCCATGCATTGTTAAGTAATCATGCCCTGAAAGTAATCCTCTTCTCTTACCAGATCACCACCACCCTTGGTTGAAAATTCAGAAGTTTAGGATTCAAATATAATACACAACCCAATGGTCTCTACATCAGTAAGAAAGAGGAGAGAATCCATGGGCTAGTTTATCCCAAACAAAGCCCTCATACTTCATCTATATCTTCATTTTCAACTTCTGAACAGTCTTTAATCAATGTTCCCTAAACTAAACACAGCTCTGACATCAACACTAAAATAAAAAATTTTGAGGAAAAAAGTTATTCTTTCCATAGGAATAAAACAAAACATTTTCTGTCCTATCCTATAGCTTCACTCTGTGTGACAGCACGCAGAGTATGCTAACCAAAATAAGCAGACTGTCTATTTTCTGAGACAAGGACAAACAGAGCTGGCAGCCTCTGAGAAACGTCCTCCCAGCTTGCTGATCACTGAGACAAACAGGAGGGAAGCAAGAACTCTTGATCCACAAGGTATTCTTGGTTCAAAGAGGGGGCTTTTGTACACCCAGTTTTCAAAATGTAAACTACTGAAATACAAATGTAAAATAAGAAGGCTAGAATACCAACTAAAAGGGTCTTCATCTTATATAGTTATTTTAACACTAATCCCAAGACTAAGTCAATCACAAAATTTATTTCCTTGACTTCAATATATTTCATGATTTTGGACTACAGCTATTCCTAATAGAATGAAACAATAAAAAAGTAGTTTATAAGGTCCTATTTTCCTTTGAATTTCATGAGGTGATCTTATTGGAAGTGGATCACACTGAAAACATAATTACATTGATGCATGTTTCTTCCTATATGCAATATTCAAAGTCAGTCAAAAATAAAAAATGTTGACACTGAAAATCAGAAGCTAGTGACCCTTAAATAAAACTAAATATAGTGGTTGGGTGCAGTGGTGCACGCCTATAATCCTAGCACTCTGGGAGGCCAGGGTGAGTGGATCACTTGAGCTCAGGAGTTCGAGACCAGCCTAGGCAACATAGTGATACCTCGTCTCCACAAAAAAATACAAAAATTAGCCAAGCATCACAGAAAAAATAAAAATTTAATTTAAAAAACCCAAAATATAGTAGGAAAAGGGCAATCTTTGACCTATCATACCAGCTAATTGACTTCGGGTGCAATACCCAATTAAAAAAAAAAAGCCAAAACAGAACAATAGAAGCTGCGATATGGTGTTATAATAATAGATCATTTCCAAAGCCCTCAAAGCTTTGCTCTTCTCTTTTTAAAGGTGAGTGTACCTACCTGCACGAGCCCACCTGGCAGGGGCTGCAACTGCAACCAGAGGTACCATTTACCCCTGTTGCCCTTTGGTCTCCACATTTCCACTAGTGGCCCGTACCTGCCCACACTGAGGGCCCATGGAGCCGCCTCAGAGCCCATGGCAACTACCCCAATCAGCTCCATACCCCACAGGCACTGGATTCAAATCCAAACAAATTATGTTCCCATACCTCACTGATTGATACAGGAAAAAAAGTATACTAATTCGTTTCTGAATTTGTATGCTGATTAGTCCTCTCGTTTTAAGACATGTCGGTCACAATTCCCAGCAAGCCACCATGTTTCATTATACAAGAAAGTAAACCTGGGTTCCTTTTGGCTCTAAAAGCACAAGTTACAGAAAACTTGAGATGCTGTCAAAGGCTTATTTGATCTATGGGCTACTGATTTACCATTCTAGTTTCTTGTGCTGTCCTGACATTAATACCAGGACTTGCTGCACTGTGTAACCCCAGGGGACCCTGTTCATGTAGAACGTGATGGGCATGTCCCCTGGAATCGACACAGCAGCCCTGGTCATAACCCCAAGAAATCACTTGGAAATAGTTTGACAAAGCAGCCGTGACCCACTTAGTTTCATAGAAAACCGTATAACAAACTAAATGAGGCATTCAAATTCTGTTGAACTAGAAACTGAAGGCCTGGGGAAACAAAAAGGAAGTGTTTGACAGTGACTGGGTTACGTCTGTGGTAATCGTATTGGCGGGAATCAGGTATGTAGAATACACAAATCAAAGACAAATTACCAGTAAACCAGTCATCCTTACTTTTGTTCTTTTAGATCACAATATACTCAAAACCAATTCTGGATCTAGAACCTAGTTGTATAACTCTTATTTTCCCTGTTTCTTAAGTGACTTTTCCCCCAACTCATACACAGAAGCGCTCAGAAATTCAGAATAAACCGTTTCCTGGTTTGGTCTCATTCTGACATTAGTTGGGAAGTGAGTACACCTCTGTCACCATACACATCTTGGAAAAAACGCTAACAAAAAGATCTCGGGAAGAAGGCCTAGTCTTCTTGGACCACATGTTAGTTCCTCAACACAACACTGGGTGCATCCTACATGTCACTTACCTTCTTTACTGCATGAAAACAGTCAAGAAGTGTAATGTAGAAATTGCAGCTTCCATAGGCAGCATCTCTGAAACCCAAAAGTAATAAAATACAGGTCAGTTCCTTTTCTGCAATGACACTTACCTGAGACAAAGCTGACTAGAATTTAAAATCAAAGGTATACTCAGAACCATTATCAAGAAGAAAAACATCTTGTCTTTTGACTTTTTAAATAAAAGATAAATCAATTACAAATTTCACTGCAGTTTCTACCTATTCCAATAGGTTCTGTTTCATGGGCATGGATCAATAGTGACCACTTTCTAAATTTCAAGTGTTCTCTCTGGATTATTTTTGGCTTTAATAGCTGAGCTACCTTCTTGAATTCAACAAATCAATACCTATCTCTCCCCCTAAAAGGGCAAAGCATTTGAATTTTTTCTTTAAACTGGAAAACACCATACGAAAATCTTACTGGGAAAGACTGCTTTTTGATCCTGTAATAAACATATGTGTGTACGTGTGTCTAAGTATACGTGCGCATCTGTGTGTGTGTGTCTCCAACCAAGTATGACAGAAATATTGAGAAATCAAGGTCATATTTAAAACACTAGGTAGAAGGTCATAAGCATTTTGTTCCTATCATTATGCTAAAGACTTTTACCCACGTAACTAGATAACTTCTGGGTTTTTTAACTTTTTTATAGAGATAACGTCTTGCCCTGTTGCCCAGGTTGGGGTACAGTGGTGTAATCATAGCTCACTGCAGCCTCTAACTCCTGGGTTTAAGTGATCCTCCCACCTCAGCCTCCCCAGTAGCAAGGACCACAGGCATGTACCATTGCATCTAGTTAACTTTTTTCTTTCTTTTTTTTTTTTTAAAGGTAAAGAGGGAGTTTCATTAAGATACCCAGGCTGGTCTTAAACTTCTGGCCTATGCTGGGCATGGTGACTCACGCCTGTAATCCCAGCACTTTGAGAGGCCAAGGCAGGTGGATCATGAAGTCAGGAGTTCAAGACCAGCCTGGCCAAGATGGTGAAACCCCGTCTCCACTAAAAATATAAAAATTAGCCAGGCATGGTGGCGGGCGCCTGTAATCCCAGCTACTCGGGAGGCTGAGGCAGGAGAATGGCGTGAACCCGGAGGCGGAGCTTGCATTGAGCGGAGCTTGTGCCATTGCACTCCAGCCTGGGCGACAGAGCAAAACTCCATCTTAAAACAAAAAACAAAAAAAACTCCTAGCCTCAAGCAGTCCTGTCACCTTTTTGGCCTCCCGAAGTGTTGAGATGACAGGTGTAAACTGCTGTGCCCTGCCTTCTTCCTGATTCTTTTTTTTTTTTTTTTGAGACGGAGTCTCGCTCTGTCACCCAGGATGAAGTGCAGTGGCCAGATCTCGGCTCACTGAAAGCTCCGCCTCCCTGGTTCCCGCCATTCTCCTGCCTCAGTCTCCCGAGTAGCTGGGACTACAGGCACCCGCCACCTCGCCCGGCTAGTTTTTTGTATTTTTTTAGTAGAGACGGGGTTTCACCATGTTAGCCAGGATGGTCTCGATCTCCTGACCTCGTGATCCGCCCATCTCGGCCTCCCAAAGTGCTGGGATTACAGGCGTGAGCCACCGCGGCCGGCCCTTCTTCCTGATTCTTAAAGGACAGTAGTAATACCAATGAAACCACAGGAACTAACAAGTCAACTACCTTCCACAGGATCACTCTAGTTTTGGGAAAGTGCTTATATTACTTTACAGACAACTCCATCCACCTAAACACTGCATCAACACATAGCAGTAATCTTACTATATGAATCTCTTAATATCAAGTCAGGTTTTACCCAGAGAAATAACGCACCCCTGACCCCTACCTGCTTCTCCTTTTTGGCTACCTTGAGCCATTACAAGATGAAATTTTCTGGAATTAGGCAACATAAACATTAATTTAATTATGATTAAGCTAGGCGTGCAGAAAAACTGTGCCTGTCTGAATGGTACTCATTTGCTTCCGGGGAAACAGGGTTGCTGGTGGAGCCATCACTAATTCCCCACCTTATCTGGGCCTTCACACTGTAATACTTCTTACTGTGAGGCAGTTACATACATATATGTAAAACCTTACTGCTGCACACTTAAAATTAGTGTTTTTGAGGCCGGACGCAGTGGCTCACGCCTGTAATCCCAGCACTTTGGGAGGCCGAGGCAGGTGGATCATGAGGTCGAGAGATTGAGATCATCCTGGCCAACATGGTGAAACCTTGTCTCTACTAAAAATATAAAAATTAGCTGGGTGTGGTGGCACGCACCTGTAGTCCCAGCTACTTGGGAAGCTAAGACAGGAGAATCACTTGAACCCGGGAGGCGGAGGTTGCAGTGAGCCAAGATCGCGCCACTGCACTCCAGCCTGGTGACAGAGGGAGACTCCTATCTCAAAAAAAATATAAATAAATAAATATTAGTTTTTGTTAAAAACGATTAAGTTATACATTAACTTAAAAGGGAAAAAATAAATATTCAACAAATGTTAGAATAAAAATTAAACCACATTTTAAACTTTTAATTCTTGCTCAAACCTTAAGGGCCAAGAATACAGCAATGAGGGAAAGAAAAGGCATCCTTTTCAGCTAAAATCGTCTTCAATGTTACTGACTGAGCTGCTTATAATTACTGAGCTATGGCCGGGCGCGGTGGCTCACGCCTGTAATCCCAGCACTTTATGAGGCCGAGACCGGCGGATCACGAGGTCAGGAGATGGAGACCATCCTGGCTAACACGGTGAAACCCCGTCTCTACTAAAAATATAAAAAATTAGCCGGGCGTGGTGGTGGGCACCTGTAGTCCCAGCTACTCGGGAGGCTGAGGCAGGAAAATGACGTGAACCCGGGAGGCGGAGTTTGCAGTGAGCCGAGATCACACCACTGCACTCCAGCCTGGGTGACAGAGCGAGACTCCATTTCAAAAAAAAAAAAGAATTACTGAGCTATGAGAACCTTCATGAGGACGGAATGCAGGGTCTTGTTTTGTTTTCTTTTTTTGAGACAGGGTCTCCTCTGTTGCCCAGGCTGGAGTGCAGTGGTGCAATCATGGCTCACTGCAGCCTTGACCTCCAGGGCTAAAGCGATCCTCCCACCTCAGCCTCTGGAGTAGCTGGGACCACAGGTGCACACCACCATGCCTGGCTAAGTTTTTATGTTTTTTGGTAAAGTTGGGGTTTCACCATGTTGCCCAGGCTGGTCTTGAACTCCTGAGCTCAAGCAATCTGCCTGTCTCAGCCTCCCAAAGTGCTGGGATTACAGGTGTGAGCCACTGCGTTCAGCCGACACAAGGTCTTAGAACACACCATTTTTGTTCTATAAGGTTCTGAATTGAAAATTTTCTCTTCTACATCCTAGAAAAGGTCTTTATCTAACCTAAAAGACCATGACTTTCCCAACACCTTATTGGCAATATTCAGAAAGAAAAAAAAACAAAAGGACTTGCAGCGGTGGTCCCCAGGCCAGCAGCACCAGGACCACCCCACCCATCAGAAATGCAAATTCTCAGGGCCACCTCACATCTACCGAATCAAAGTTCTCGGGGTAGGACCAGGTAATTTGTGTCTTAACAGGTCCTCTAGATGTCTGTGATTGTGTTCAAGTTTATGAACCACTGACCTACAAATCAACACAAATCCTGGTTTTGTAGAAATAGGGTGTTCGTGGAATAAAGAACCCATTTAGGTAGAGAAACTAAGGCAGGAAAATGGAGTAGTTTAGCCTAAATCAAATCAAAATTACCAACGGAAACGGGGTAAACCCTCAAGTTGGATGCCAATGATTTTAAGCATGTCTCGTCTGTGAAGGACTGATTATCTTCTTTTATTTTTGAGACAGAGTCTCCCTCTGGAGTGAGTGCAGTGGCGTGATCTTGGCTCACTGCAAGCTCCGTCTCTCGGGTTGACACCATTCTCCTGCCTCAGCCTCCCGAGTAACTGGAATTACAGGAGCCGCCACCACACGCAGCTAATTCTTTTGTATTTTTAGTAGAGACGGGGTTTCACCTTGTTAGCCAGGATGGCCTCTATCTCCTGATCTTATGACTCACCCACCTTGGCCTCCCTAAGAGCTGGGATTACAGGCTTGAGCCACCACGCCCGGCCTGATTATCTTCTCAACCTACTGATAATTATTTTCCAATCAAGTTAAAGGCGTGTTGATTCAGTCTCTGTGACATTTTGACAAATTTCTTCAACGCTTTCTCTTTTCTTTCTTTTTTTTTTTTTTGAGAACCTACTGTGGGGCACAGCCCCGCTCCAATCTGTGATGATTTCACAAGCTTTCATCTGGGCCCTGCTGAAGTCCTGCCTCATACATCATAGAATCTGAATATACGACAAGAATCTTTGTTCACTCAAGTTTATTTCATTAGCACCTCCAATTTTAGACACACCCACATCACATCTTCCTCCCACCGAGCATTCAGTCTTCTTCCAATAGGCAGAACAGCAACTCTGAGGCTCGGTTTATAAGCCTTGGAGAGTGGGGAGGGATCCTTGTCACCAAGATCATTTAACAAATTTGGAAAACACATAAGAATCAATAAAGGCGCACTGCTTGGAAACTGCACAACAATGTCAAATACTAGTTTTAAAGAATGGCCACTTTCATAACAGCTCGTATTCACCACAGCCAAAAACTGCAAATGACCCAAATATCCATCAAAAGGACAACAGGCAAATAAATGGTGGTATATTCATAGACTGGAATGCCACAAAAGCAAAAAAAAGGACGAGCTACTGATACCTGCCACAACACAGGTAGCTCTCATAGACATTACATATGTGAAATCCAGTTGCCACCTCCCCAAAATGCATACCAGTTATCTGAAGTTCAAAAGCAAGCAAAACTGATAGTGATAGAAGTCAGAGCAATGATTAGCTGGGGGTGATGACTGACTGGAAAGGGGTAGGAGGGAATCTTTCAGGAGACAGATAATTTTTTTTTTTGGGACGGAGTTTCGCTCTTGTCGCCCAGGCTGGAGTGCAATGACACGATCTCAGCTCACTGCAATCTCTGCATCCCAGGTTCAAGTGATTCTTGTGCCTCAGCCTCCCAAGTAGCTGGGATTTGATTACGGGTGTGCGCCACCATGCCCTGCTAATTTTTGTATTTTTAGTAGAGACAGGGTTTCACCACATTGGCCAGGCTGGTCTCGAACTCCTGACTTCAGGTGATCCGCCTGTCTCAGCCTCCCAAAGTGCTGGAATTACAGGTGTGAAACACTGCACCCAGCCAAGACAGTGATTTTTTTAAAATGTAGGTAAATGGCCGGGCGTGGTAGCTCACGCCTGTAATCCCAGCACTTTGGGAAGCTGAGGCAGGAGGATCATGAGGTCAGGAGATGGAGACCATCCCGGCTAACATGGTGAAACCCCGTCTCTACTAAAACTACAGAAAATTAGCCAGGCATGGTGGCAGGTACCGGTAATCCCAGCTCCTCAGGAGGCTGAGGCAGAAGAACTGCTTGAACCTGGGAGGAGGAGGCTGCAGTGAGCCAAGACCACACCAATGCACTCCAGCCTGGGGTGACAGAGGGACAGTCTGTCTCAAAAAAAAAAAAAAAAAAAAAAAAAAAAAAAAAAAAAAAGACACGGTCTTGTTCTGTTGTGCAGGCTGAGTGCAGTGACATAATCAAAGCCCACTGAAGCCTCCTAGGCTTCAGGGATCCTCCTGCCTTAGTCTCCCAAGTAGCTATGACTACAGAAACATGCTACCATGCCCAGCTAATTTTCTTCCCCGCAAAGAGAAACGGTCTTGCTATGCTGCCCAGGATGGTCTTCCTGGCCTCAAGCCATCCTCCCGCCTCAGCTTTCCAAAGTGCTGGAATTATAGGCATGAGCCGCCATGCCCGGCCTATACTATGTGTTTTATATGCAGGATGTCACTTCATCCTCAATCCCCTCAGGGAGATTTTATTATTGTTTCTGTTTAAAGACTAGGAGACCAAGGCTCAAATCTGTAAAAGACCACAGAGATATCAGTAGCAGAGCTGACAGCAAAACTCCCATCTGATGTCAAGTCAAGCTATTAACAAATACACAATACTACCTCTCGAGAAAACAGGAAGCAGAGGCAAGCCCCCTCACACAAAAGCAACTAAGAAGCAGAGATAATACCAGAGAACAGAAACACACACTGTTCGTAACAATGATCCTATGACATTTTTAAAAAATTAAACTATATTTTATACTATTTAATCATGCAGACCAGACACAGAGAAATATTTAATATAACTCAGTAAGAAATCATATATACACACGCACTTTAAAACTCCGAGGCTCACCCCTGTATTCCCAGAACTTTGGGAGGCCAAGGTGGGCGGATCACTTGAGGCCAGGGGTTTGAGACCAGCCTGGGCAACATAGTGAAACCCCGTCTCTACCAAAAATACAAAAATTAGCTGGGCGTGGTGGCGCCTGCTCTAGAAGCTGAGGCATGAGAATTGCTTGAACCTGGGAGGCAGAGGTTGCAGTGAGCCGACATTGTGCCACTGCACTCCAGCCTGTGCGACAGAGCAAGATTTCATCTCAAAAAAAATAAATAAATAAAACAAAAGAGAATTCGATCTAAGTTGAATTAAATCTAATTAAATAAAACATTGCTATGTAACATAAAATAACTTATTTACTATAAATGAATGCCATTCTTGCACAATGTCTTATTAGCAATACTTTGTTGGTTACATTTATTCTATGTACTTGAAGTGGCAAGATACAAAGAATATAATGTCATTTCTATCAAAATATTATCAGGCTTTATTAATTCTGATTGGACTACTTTCTAATTGATAAGTTCTATAGAACACTATGTAAGGAAGCACTAAATTTAAAAACTTTAAGTCAATCATAGGTTGACACTTTTGTAAAATAAATATGAAATGCATTAGTACTGTACTATTACACACCCAGTAACACAGTAATCTTATTTTTGTGAATAAATTACTAGAAAAATGAAAGTTAAAAAAAAAAAAAGTCCAAATTTCTTCTACTATTTGATTCTACAGACATAAAATTGCTCTATTCAATAACCTATAAATGATTCTAAAATCTTACTCTCAACTTCTGTATTTATCTCATCACAGACCAGCACCAGTTCACAGGCCACACTTAAGGATCATGAGGTCAAGAAATCAAGACCGTGCTGGCCAACATGGTGAAACTCTTTTCGCTACTAAAAATACAAAAATTAGCCAGGCGTGGTGGCAGGCACCTGTAGTCCCAGCTGCTGGGGAGGCCGAGGCAGGAGAATCACTTGAACCTGGGAGACGGAGGTTGCAGTGAGACCAGATCACACCACTGCACTCCAGCTTGGTGACAGAGCAAGACTCCATCTCAAAAAAAAAAAAAAAAAAAAAAAAAAAAAAACTATCTAGATAAATCAAATACCTAGTATCTATGATAGAAGAGATTCAAATTTCACAAACCTGAATGGTTTCTGGTTGAGTCTTGTCTTTTGGAGAATTACTGACTGATGCTCCTGAGACCACAAGGAACTAACTTCATTTCTCAGTGCCAAACTTCAATAATTTGAAACATAGCAAGGCAGTAAGCAATGCTTATTCTGTTTTTGGCACCTGTATTTAAATTAACTCAAAACGTCTTTTTTCACATCAACAGTGCCACACTGTGTGAAATGTGTGAGCATGTTCCTATTTCAGGACCTTGTGCTGTAAATGTAAGAGTGGCACCGCAAAGGATTATCATTATAAAGAAGAGTTCTACAGAACAAATGTCGCTACATCAGGAGATGACCAAGGTGCCTGTGACTCAAGACCAAAAATACAAGCATTTCTTTTAAAGGAAGAATGTGGTTGCTGTTATGTTATAGGTTGAGAAGAAGAATTTTCCAGCTTAGAAAATAATCTTTATCTCCCCGCTTCCCTTCCTACCCACCTCAAATAAAAGAATACTTAAGATGAGCCATGACCTAGCAGAAAGGGATGATACTGGGTTCAAGCCAATTCTAATTTGCTAAATCACCGATCTTCACAATCTTTCATGCAGTGTATTCCTGAAGTCTTCGGACTGCCCTGAGAAATTGTGATTTCATGGAGTAAGTCCACAGGCGGGCCTATAAAGTTATCTGAAAAGGAGATTCTGCCAATAATTCCAAGTACCTATGCCAAAGCTCATCTAAAATGAAGTCAGATTCACAAACTTCCTTTTGTACAGTCAGGGCCATACATTCAAAATCAGGCATTTGTGGTATATGCAACAGTCCTAATATGATAAACTAATGAACTAATTAGTTTGAACAATGAACTAATAAGCAGTAGTTATTAGTTCATTGTACAAGCAGTGAACTAATTTGTGAATGGAAGAACAAGCAGTTTTGAAAATATCACAGTCTTCAATGAGTAAAATTATTTCACACATTTATTACCCATTAAGTACCTACCATACAAGTATTTACATTATAGAGCTATGTCAGGTATTTTGATAAACAAGCAGAAAAATTTTTAGAACTTAATTTGATTTAAGCGCCAGTCTTCTCGAAATATCTTCAACACAATCGCATGCTAAGCTTGAGATGAGGATGTCATCCATTCCTGTAGACATCACTATCTACCACCTCTGGGACGCAGTGACTTGACTGGTTTTTCTGGAAGTGGTACTGCATTAGCAACCTTATGTAGGCTGTCTCTACTGACTGCGTCCCCAGAAAAAAAGGGGTTCATTTTGGTCCCAGAAAGTAACTACTGATTATTGGAAACATTTCTTCACTTCTCAGGAACCACACTCTTCAGTGGGAGTTTTGAGTACCACAGCCCAGGATTCTCACCTGAGTACAAAGCCTAGGTTTTGGGATTTTGTTTTTGTTTTTTTTTGAGACAAGTTATCTCTCTATTGCCCAGGCTTGAGTGCTGTGGTGTGACCATAGCTCACTCACTGCACCCTCGAACTCCTGGGCTCAAACAATCCTCCAGCCTCTGCCTCCCAAGTAGCTGGGACTACAGGCACACGCAACCATGTCTGGCTAATTTTTTTTTTTTTTTTAATTTTTTTGTAGAGATGGGGCCTGTCTTTGTGGCCGAGGTTGGTCTGGAACTCCTGGGCTCAGGTAATCATTCCACCTTGGCATCCCAACATGCTGGGATTACAGGCATGAGCCACTGTGCCCAGCCAAAGCTTAGTTTTCATCAACGGCAGTGGTTCTCAATGTAGGGAGATTTTGCTCTCCATCCCCCAAGGCCACTTACAGGGATAAATGGCAATGTCTGCAGACATTCTGAGTTTTGACAATTAGAGTGGGTGTGGGGATTTTACCAGCATCTAGTGGGCAGAAGCCATGGACGCCACTCAACATCATACGATGCACAACACAGCCCCCACGACAAAAGGTGAGCAGTGTCACTGTGGAAACACCCAGATCTGTGATGTTATTTGTGCTCATCCTAAAATGACTATTTACCAGATCTTCTTTTTTCAGAAACAACTATCAAGGTATTTCTGGCAAGGATCTGATTACCTGAATCTACCACATCATTCTTATATTTACCTGAAAGGAATATAGGATGTCTCTCCAAAGATTAATATTCTATATGCTTCTTCTGGAGTTCTCCCCAAATATATAACCTATGTTTGGAAAAAAGAAAAAGGCAATTTATTTCTAAGCGAAGGTACAGTGCTGTCACTGCGAAGTCAATTTTGTCCAATTTCCAACCAACTGAGCCGGGTTCTCCAGCCTTCCCCAGGAGCCCAGAATCACCCAGAATCCTGTCCACAGGTTTCTTTTTTGTTTAAATCCTCCATTGCTGGTTTCTGTTGTTTGCAGCATGAGCCCTGACCAACAACTCTTCACAGCAACCTTTTGTGGTAAGACGCACGGTATTTTAAAAACAGATTTTCCGAATCAAGATGTTAGACCGATCCCATGCTTTTACCTCCCCTCCTTCCTGCAAGTCCACTGAAATGACAGCTCAGCAGCATGTAGGAGATGGGGGCAGGGTTAGAATGGGGGGAGGTGGAAGGAGACACAAAAGCAGAACACAGACGTGATTAACTCTGCCCATGGAGGTGTAAGGGCTTGCAATACTGAACAAGTTGATTATCCAACTGCACTTGCTTTTGACGCTCATTGACTTCTTTTGTCCTTAGAACTATGCTATGCTTTGACTTTAATCTGGGAGAATACCTCAAGTATATTCTTCAGCATTTGAGGTCTATACTTGGTATTCTTTGCATTTCTAAACATTCCTTTTTTCCCCTTGACCTTTATTATTTGACTACTACACGTAGGATTTTTGGTCTGTAGTCATTTCCTCTCGATAGTTTCTAGTTTCTAGATAATGTTCCCATGTCTTCTCACTTCTAGTGTTACAGAAGTATTTTACTGGTCTAAGTATCTCTGACTGCTCCTTACAAATAACCTGTTTGTTCTAGAAATGTGGAGTTTGAGACTTTCACCACCAACTCTCTAAATAAGTCCTCTCCCTACCCCCTATTATATTTGTCTGGGACTTCAGAATCTTCCTGCAGGGCCCTTTCAACTAATGTATGGAAGGTTGGGGCTTGGGGGGATCGTGGTGGGGAGGAGACACAACATTAAATCTGGCACTTATATTATCACCAAAATTAGGTTGAACTCCAAAGATTACTTTGGGGAAATAGATTTTAAATTTCACTAACAAAAAAAAGAAATCACTAAAAAAAAGGTTAATTGCAAACTTTTTTATCTCCATTATTTAACATGATACATGTGACCTGTTTGCACAACCAAATGGGAAGCATTCTGAGGTTGGGACTCATGTCTCACGGTTTCATTACACACCAATCTGATTCACTGATTTACTTAGCTGAACCCAAATCTACTTACAATAGGAACATTTTAAATATTTAATAAAAGTTGATATCAATGTGAAAGTATCACTGGACTAAGAGAAATTTTTCAAAACTCAAAGATCCAGCAAGGATCTTATAAACTGAGAAACAGACATATCCTAAAACTAGTCATAAGCACTGACTCAGCTTTCAAAGGGCATTTCACCAATTTTCTGACTCAAGACTCATAAACGGAAAATTTTCCCAATGACTAGTCTGTTGCTGTTTTTTTTTTGTTTTGTTTTGTTTTTGTTTTTTTTTTTGAGATGGGGTTTCACTCTTGTTGACTAGGCTGGAGTGCAAAGGCGCAATCTCAGCTCACTGCAACCTCCGCCTCCCAGGTTCAAGCAATTCTCCTGCCTCAGCCTCCCGAGTAGCTGGAACAACAGGCGTGCACCACCACGCCTGGCCAGTTTTTTGTATTTTTAGTAGAGATGGGGTTTCACTATGTTTGCCAGGCTGGTCTCAAACTCCTGACCTCAGGTGATCCGCCCATCTTGGCCTCCCAAAGTACTGGGATTATAGACATGAGCCACCATGCCCGGCCTACACACAGATCTTCTAAGCATCAGCTTGTAAGTCATGAAAAGTAATATATTTTAAAAATCCAGCTTGTTTTTTCCAAATTCCCTTATTCCCTTCCAGTCTCCAATGCATCTATGCCTATTCTAACACCAGATAACATCAGTAAAGTCTTTCATTTTCTCCATTCTATTTTAAGACTTCCTAGCAGATTAAAAAAAAAACAAAACAAAACTTAAAACCGGCCAGGTGCGGTGGCTCATGCCTGTAATCCCAGGACTTTGGGAGGCCATCGTGGGCAGATCACGAGGTCAGGAGATGGAGACCATCCTGGCTAACACAGTGAAATCCCGTCTCTACTAAAAATACAGAATATTACCCGGGCACAGTGGCAGGCGCCTGTAACCCCAGCTACTCAGGAGGCTGAGGCAGGAGAATCGCTTGAACCCAGGAGGCAGGGGCTGCCGTGAGCCAAGATCGTGCCATGCACTCCAGCCTCAGCGACAGAGCAAGAGTCCATCTCAAAAAACAAAAACAAAAACACAAAAACAAAATCCTAAAACCAAAAAACAAAACCAAATAAAAAAACACCTCGAAGCCAGTAAGAATGAGAATAGGGTTTGATTCATTTGTGTATTAAAATGAAATCTAGAGACCCGTTTAGGAATTTCTCTAAATTTCTAAGGCCTTCTCTCAAATTATACAAATTTTTCCTTAAGCACCAGTTTAAGATAATTTTTCCTATTTGCAATTGCTGTTCTTTGGGTTCTTTAGTAAAACTGCAATGGTATTACTTTCTCCTAACTTTCAAAACAAAAATAGTCTCTAATACATTAAGGACTGTGGTTTAGCCTTGGAACACTAGTTTGATTCAAAGAACCGCAAGAACAATGTAACATTTTTTCCTCTGGGAGAAAAAACCCTAAATTCCTGATGATGAACTTTAAAAGACTGTAATTTAAAAATCCAGTTGGGGAATGCCTGCACATAAAAAATAATGTCAAGCATAATTAGATAAACTGAAGGAAGTTTACAGATGCAGAATAATTCCACTTATGTAACTATCAAAGACATATTTGCCAATCTGTAACTTTTACCTTCTTTTCTTTTTTGGCCAGGCATGAAGGAAGTAACTTTTACTTTTACACCTACTCATCTTGCCGATTCAAAAGGCCTTCCCAAATGAAATCATTCTAAATTTGTGACTAAAGAAGAATCCTGTAAATGACTCCTACATTAACACAAATTCTCAGATTAGTAAACTCTAAATGGATGCAACTTATGATCTATCACCGTGCTTCTGGCAGTCTGGACACTTGGCGTTTCTCAAATTCTTTTGATATATTTTCATGAGAAGCAATATATATAGAATGCCCACTCTAATTCCACAGTGCTGGTTAAGAACAGGAAACAACAAATGACGACCAAGAGAGCTGCTGACCAGTTGTGATCACCAGCTTCCCAGACAACCCCAGAGAGTCTCATCTGCTGGCATGTCCACCCTTGTGCGGTCCCCTCCCACAGTGAACGGGGTGTCCCGTGTAACGAACAGGATACTGTAGTAATAGGGTGTGGTTTCGGAGACCAGATCATAAAAGAGGCAGCTATTGTCTTGCTTTCTCTTAGAACCCTTGCTCTGGGTACAGCAAGCTATTATTTTGGGAGCATACTCAAGCAGTCCACGTGGTATGGAAGAGAGGCCTCCTGCCAGCAACTGGCACTAACCTGCCAGGTATGTGACTGAGCCCCCTTAGAGGTGGACCCTCCAGGTGAGTGCAGCCCAGACACGGCCCAGAACCAGACCAGACCCATCCAAGTTAAGCAACTCCCAGATGCCTAACTCACAGACATGGTCTGAGACAATGTGTACTGTCGTTTTAAGTCACAACGTTTTGCGGTAATTCGCTGGGCAGCAATAGTGTGCAGTAGCACACTCAGTGAGTAAGGAAATGGCCATTTCCATTTGTTAAAAGTGAATAAACAAATACATGAGGCGTAAGCACAGAGACGCAGCTTAGGAAGCATCAGTAATACCTTGTTTCTCTAGGATAAAGACTCTGAACGAGCAAATATCACACACACACACACAAATACTATGGTTGAAAATGCTTGAGACTGGTGTGGTTTTCAAAGTCATGGTACAAAGTTCTTTTTTTGCTGAACAATACCTCAACCATTCCCAGGACTTCCCACCACCCCCGTTTTCTAGAATCACCATCTGCACGCCCGAGTCCCTGTGAGGACGCTGGACCCCTTGATTACTGACATACGTTTCAAAACCTGGGAGGTACTGAACTAGCAGTGATGGAAGAACAAGCAACTGAAGCAAAAGGATCCCAGCTGCATTACTTCTCCTTTCAGTGTTTCAATGTTGACAGCCCAAATCACGGAAACCCAATTAGACATGTGCTTCCTATTTCTACTAGTATGTACAGGATTCTGAAGCTTTATTTATATACTTAGAGAGCCTCGGTACAATTTACAACCCAAACGTCACACAAGTCAGTGCATCCCAGAGCTGAGAGCGACAAAGGATATTGAAATTCCAGCAACAAATGTGGCAGCCTGAGTAACCAGGAAATCCTGGAGAGATGTCACAATGTTTCCAGCACTTCAAGACTCTTGTGACTATTTTCATGTCAGCCAGATGATACAGTCTTTCCTATGCCAAGAATTTGATTGATCACAAAAAAAAAAAAATCATTCTCTCCAGATTAACAAAGAATGCTCACAAATCAATGCAAGTTGAAGACAGACTCACACATTCAACTGCTCAATAAAAAAGGTGAGCAGGGAAAAGAACACAGAGAATAAAAAAGTAAATAAAAGAAAATCACTTTCATAGCTCCTGCACAAAACTGGTTAAGAAAAAAACTGTCGTTAAAAAAAAAACCTCAGATGAACTTACATTTCAATAGTTTTAACTTTTAAAATTACTTTTACTTATATATATACAGTAGGTTAGCATAATGATGCTCAATTTCGACAAAATGAAACTGGAAGTTCAGAGTAGCAAACACGTATCTACCAACTCTGCTAATAAAAATAGTGAATTGGCCCTGGGTATTAGTACACATTTGAGTGGTAGGGACATTTTTTAAAGACAAAGTAAATAATCTTGATTTTTTTAAAAAATGAAATTTCCTAATTTTTAACCATAGAGTAAAACAATCCACAACTATTTATAATGCTCTGTGAGTTTCATAAAACTGGCAGGCTACAACTTTCCAGGC